TAAGTAGTAAGTACATGCACATTTTCATGAGTAAGGGTACATTACAATCGGAACTGTTCACTGATTACAACTTATTAGTTGTTAGAGACATTCAAGAACATCCTTTGCGCAATCTCGAAATAGGAAAATAATTACGGCATGTTATTTGCTATTAACGCCATTTATGACATTAATCCTGAGTGAATTATATTCGATGAACGACAAGTTCCAACTTGAGCTGTAGAGGGGAACGGCAAATGATGACGCTTTTATCACACCCTTACGGTCTAATTTGCCGCCGATTTACTGCAGAATACGACCCAAATGACGTCCGTTAAGCTCGGCTTTGTGAAGGAGCGAGAGGCACTCGACATAATTATCCACCGGATGCTGCAGAGGGGTGAGGGGCCTGGAAGGGAAGGGTGGTGGGTGATTTGGAGGGTGACTTGTAAGATGCCGTGTGGGTTTAGTATGTCGTGCCGATGTCCAGCACCTCTTCAACAACTTTGTAGTATCCCATGAATTTGTGCGAAAATAAAACGTGGAAGCTGAGCGGCATGACACATCCATGTGTTTTTGATAAAAATTGTTTGTGGAGCTTATAACTACCTGAATATTTATATACTACGGCACAGACTTCTCTATATATGGACTGTGCGCTGATCCGAGGAAATCAGCATTGGAGGCCCAAAAATAAGTGCACTTTTATCCATCTTTTTTCAATGAAAAGGGTGTCAGAATATTTACAAATTTGGATATAGGATAGCCCATACTTTTATCTACCTGTCGGATTACATTTTTTTGTTGAATTCAAAATAAATAAGAAATAAATGTATATAAATGAGAACATGTTTTCTCGTTCAGTTAGCCATTTGTTCACGCTGGAGGTATATACTTCACAAATGCAGCCGTACTTTGCGCGCATTTTCTTGCTTTTGAATGTTGGTTGCATTGTTGGTTGTCGTTGCTAATTTGTCGGAACTAGTCGTTTACGTTGGTTTTGAAAAGGGTTTTGAGAAATAACGATACATTATATAGGGCCACAAGAAGCAGTAAAAATAAGTACCTAAGTAATAGCTCGAAAAAATGGTCAAAAAAGGAAAGAATATTATCGATCACTACCTCATCACGACCGGATCAGAAAACGTGTGGTGCGAAGATGTCATTCCGGGTATCAAGCCAGAGTCAGGGCAAGAAAAAATGTGAAACGAAACATAATTTCTAGCCAAAAGGCAACTTTTTAGCCTCCCGTATAACTAAAAGGAAAAAATGTTCACAGACGAAACCATCAATCGAGATAAGAGATAACGCTGAGGACAATCAGATTTGCAAGTTTACTTTTGCAAACACTGACTCCTGTGAGACTCACACAGCAAGAAGAAAAACAGGACGCTATCGACGGCGCCAGTCTCAGCATACTTCCTATAATGCCTAGTGCCTTATTTTATTCTGGAGAAAAAAAGACTCACTGAAAGGAGCTACAAAGACTTAACTTGACCAGCAGTTAATGTGAAAAGAACAACTCGCCATCGCAGTTCGATGCTACGCCGCGCTAAATAATGCCATACCCATGGCAGTGATACGCCACTACATCCAAAAGAAGTAAGCTTATTCAATCAAACAATGAAGTTTATCCAGTGTGTCGTATGGGGTTGTAGTTCATTATGGTCTGGATCAAATCATCTCGGAAGAATGCTCGATGAAATGATGGAATTCGTACCCTTCGCATCAATGTTAAACGATGAAGGTTGCCGCTCTTAAATGTTACCGCAAAACTTGCATCGGGATCGGGAAGCTCAAGAATACGCCAGTCTGCGAAGAACGGACGGAAAAATAGCGGTGGAGCAGAAACAAGATGCATAGGACTGATTGGAGTATAAGTAGCTGGGACAAACATCTGTGCCGGTGGTGGCCTGTTATTACAGGAACTTCTACTTTGGATATCTCAGGAAACTGGCAGGTCACCATTTCTAGGCCAGCTGTGGACATTTTCGATGGAGAAGCCAAGAAATGTGCCAAGGGCGAAGAGCATACTGTATCTAACGAGCTACAGAATATGACGGAGGCGCCGGGGGCACTAATCGTTTGGCCGAACGGGGAAGAGCACTCGATCCGCGCCCCGGCAGGTTACCTGTGCTCCAGCTTCCGATCTGAGATGGTCGCCCTCCGAGCTGCTCTCTCCTAGCTGCTGGAGAACCCGCCGCACGCCGAAGACACCATCGTAGCCTGCACCGACTCGCAGTGCGCCCTCGCCGCCATCCGAGGTGGCTAGGCCGCCCAGCACTCCTCGCTCGGAGTGGACATCTGGAGAGCCCCCTGGGGACTGACAGCTGGAGGCCTGTTGGTCTACCTACAGTAGGTGCCCTCACAATGCAGGTTGGAGGGCAACGAGAGGGCCGACACCATCGCCAAGAAGGCAAACATACTCGACTAAAAACAAATCCTTATAGACGTCCAGAAGGCCCACTGGGCCGCCACCAGAGTGGTGAGGGCTCGCACCGTCGGGGCCTGGCCAGCCGGCTGGTTCCACCAGCTGACGGGGATCGACTCCCGCCTACCGTTGCCGGCGGCGACCGGCCAGCGGCGGTGGACATCCACCAGCTCCGCGCCGGCCACTGGACAAGCTCCTCCCAATGGCGCCACAGAGTCGGGTTGGCGCCCTCCTGGCTGTCGGGGTGTAACCAGTGCGACGACCGACAATGCAGAGCCGCACTCTACCCGTCTGCTGAGAGGAGGCGGACAGCCCAAGCATGTCCTCCTGCGGTGCCCGGCTCTGATGGGCACCCGACATCGACTGATGGCGACCATCAACCCCAACATGGAGGAGGTGCGGAGCGGCAGCATCGTGGTGGCCCTGGGGGCCGCCCACAGGTCCCTTCAGAGCTGCTCGGCTACGTCTCCATGCGGACGAAGGGACACAATAAAAGCAACAATAGCTACAGCATGACAACGTGATGGGAACGACCGTCACAAGAGCTATCGCCTTATCATTCAGCAGCGAGTGGAAAACGAGCAGACGGAGGGATACGTTGCAATTGGTGATGCGCATGTGCGAATGTGTGAAAGTGCGACTATGTGTAGATGCGTGGTGCGAAAAGTGGGTAGCAGAGAACAGTGAAGACACCGTTGCAGCAGACACACATTTTCCCGTAAAGTCCCCCATCGGCATTACCGCCAACCTTTACCACCAGCGCGGTCGGTGCACTGTCGCGCGAGTTTGTAGCCAGCCATGTCAGAGATGTGAACAATCCAGCACACGGGGGAAGAAGAAAGGGATGATAGCCACCCTTTCTCGCTGGATCCCGCGGTGAAAATGGACTAACGCCATTTTCAAGCCCACTGGTGCAATGTGAGATGAACTTGACATGAGGACATCAATGGGTGTCGATGAACGTGAAATGATGTTCCAATACAGATTCATATCGACCAGAAGCCTTTCTTATTCTGAGCTACGAGCAATAGATAGTACAAAAACAAAATACATTACATAAAATTCAGCCTGTCGACAGGAAACAATAAAAGGGTATTGTGTTACAACATATGGGTTCATATTATGGCTTCAGAAATTTGGGCCTCCAATGCTGATTTCCCAAATCAGCGCACAGTCCATATATAGAGAAGTCTGTGACTACGGTTGTCAGCAAACGGTTTTATATAATACTGAACGAGGCCGGTGTAAATAAATTTTCAAGACCGAGGTCCTTACTGGATTTTTGAACGAGGCCGAAGGCCGAGTTCAAAAATCAGTAAGGACTGAGGTCTTGAAAATTTATCACCGGCCGAGTTTGGTATGGATTTTACTGTATGCCAACGATAAATTTATTTTCTGGACCGAAGCCCTTAGCCGACTTAGGAACGAGACCATCCCAAAATGTTGGCTTAAGTGCATTCTGGTAATGCATTTTTGACCGTGGTCAATTTGCTTACACCAGTTATTACCACACCCCTCTGGCTAATGCATTTGAATAGGCCAGGCATACAGTAAATCAATGTTTACTTTCCAATTGCGCCATCTGATGCATTCAGCAGCCGTTGTCGCTGTACCAATTCATCCCTGCAGTGTTTCCATCAGTAGCATCGGCAGGTCTATCTCAGCTCGCTGTTCTCTCGCGCGCGGCTCATCTGAGTCGCTGAGATAATTCGCTGCCATTTGCGACCTAAGGGCAAAACGACACCCTGCCTTATCTGCAGACGTCCCATTGTAAGGGGTCGTGGGCGACTGTGTTTGGAGCCGCCCATGCACCGTCGCCGGAAAATTTGGAAGGAAATTGGGGGAACGCTGGATAAACCAGGAGGCATCAGGCATCAAAAAGATTAATTTGCAAATAAACTAAACCCCTTCCCCCCCAAAAAAAAAAACGAAAAAAGAATAAAAACAGTACGCGCTGTTTAAATTAGATTAGAAACACCCTGCCAAAAGGTAAACAGCAGATGAAAATGTAAACTTAGTTTTATGTGACGCTTAAAGGTTAAAATAACGGCAGCAGGTGGAGATACAATTCCTTCTCCGGGCGGAAAAGCAGCGTGCAGTCATGATCAGGGGCGGATCCAGAAAATCTCCAAGGGAGGGGCCATTAGAAACCAGGAGGCCCCCCCCATAATCCCACCTGTTGGAGGCCCCATCTTCCCACTTGTTGGGCCCCCCCCCCCCCAAAAAAAAAACTGCGTCTATTGAGCTTATCTAGCTGTTCAGGCAACATCTCAACATCTGTGCAGGCTTGGAGGCCCTCTGTGCAGGTTAGGAGGCCCTGTAAAAGTGGTCATCTCTGTGAGTATAAGAGACCTCCAAGTTATGAAAAGCTTTACCAATCTTCTAACAAAGAAGTCTTCTCAGCTAGTCTTCTAAGAAATAACTAAGTGGGTAGGTTAAAAAAAACTCATCGGATTTCGGCCACTTTATTTTCAGGAGGCCCCCTTTTCAGCTTTTTAACTTTTTATTTTATTTTTGAAAAAAAAAATCGGCCAAGGGGGGGGGGCCATGGCCCCCATGCCCCCCCCCCTTGTATCCGCGCCTGGTCATGATACCCCGTCTCCCAGTACCCAACCCCAGCTATCTTAGCCTCCTGCCCCCGACTTAGGCGGACAGATTACACCGTTCCCGGCTCAGGCGGACAGTTTACACTGATCCGGAAACGCGGCAGCCACCTTGTTGGCCTCCTGATAAATGCAGCTGAGCACGCCGATCTCCGCCCAGCACTGGACAAAGTCCTCGCTCGTCTTGGTGGACTCGCACAAGAATAAACCTTCATCAGCTTCTCGGCCATCTCGCTGTTGGCACCAGAGAGCTCGTTGGTGACGGCGCTCTGCAGTTCGTCATACTTGAGCTTGTTGCCGCTCTGAAAGTTCTCTAGAAGGCTGATAACCTTCGCAACACCATTGGCGTACCTCTGATGGGGGTCTTCCTCGGCCGGAGCTCCCGTGTCACACTGTTCCAGGGTGCGAGCGGTGGCGCTCTCCAGGACGGCCCGCAGGGAGGCTGGGCTGAGCGGACACTGGCCGCAGAGGAAGGCGGCTCGGCGGCTCGCGCCGGCCGAGTCCAGCTCTCCTCGCTCCTCCTGTTGCCGGTCACAGTCGACGAACCACGACCAGCGCAGGCAGTGCAGACTGTAGACGGCAGCGCGCGGCAGCGACAGGCCCGCCGCGCGCTGCGCCGCACACTCGTCCATGATATGGTAGGCGTTGATGATCCAGCCGGCGTCACTCGTGTACTTGGCTTTGCGTCCCTTCATCTGGGCGAGGAGGAACGCGATGGCCTCCTTCAGCTTATCGCCCGTCGGTGGGATGGGTGTATCGCCCAGCATCCCCTGGCTGCGGAACAAAGGGGCGTTCCAATGTGAAACATTACATACGTTTTTTTTTTTTTTTACATGTTTCCATCACTCTAGCTTTGTCTATAGTGAAGCACAGGCTTCTCTGGTCACCCTCCATGTGCAGTAAAGGGAGCACATTGGTCCTCGTGGCGATCTTTAGCAGAACTCCCTTTTTTACAAATAACCCGCGTAAAAGGCGGCAACAGCAACCAAACTTCCAGCGCCGCCTGTCGGTACGTGGTGCGCAGAAGCTGATTTAGATGGAGGACTAAAACGCTTCCCCCTCCCCGCCCTATATGTGTCATGATTGGACCATCGCCCTGCGCTGGTTGGCAACTGCAACACTGCAGTATGCACGCACCAGTAAACAAATGGCACCAGTCCAAACGCCGTGTTGTGTATAGTGTTCTGCTTGCCTTTTAGCGTAGCAGACGTAAAACAGGGAGAGGCGAGGAACGCCCTCGCATGTCTTTGGCAGATCACCGTCGTTGACCAGATTCATGCAGTTGGGGGCGGCGGGTTTAGAGGCCGAGTTGTTGAAGTCATCCGGCAGACACCCCCTCGACTTCAGGAGCGAAAACGTCGGCTGGATCTGGTCGGTGACAAACATCGAGGCAGCGGCACCTGTCCTCAGAGCGAAGTTGTCCAGTCAGGGCTTGGGTTTCGATTTCTGCGTTTTCGCGGCTTGTGTTTTTTTTTTGCTTTTTTCGTTTTTTTTTTTTTTTTGTTCCGAGTGGCATTCATGTGCACAGTTCTGTTATGCAGTTATTCTGTTATGCAAAGACGGCAAAGTGATTAATTTATGAAAATATTGATGGTGGAAACTGGTAGACACAAACGTGTCTATGCAATACATTATCCAATAACTTTTCCAGCATATAAATTGGAATATATTTAGTGGTAGATCTGCCCAGACGTCAGTTCTGTGCCGGGGGATCTCACCTGAAACCAGGAGCAGTGCAGCGACGATGGCGCCCACACAGGCCGACGGGAGACCCATGGCGCGTTATAGTGTTTACTGCCTGACGAGGTCCGCAGCTCTGGAACCATGGCTGCGCCGATGGCCTTGTCATTGACTACATACCTACCTATGTATAGCTGCAAAAGGGAGGGGGAGGAGCGCTCACGCTGCAGGGCGGAGCACCTCCCCACCCCACCCCTTCCCTACCCGCGCAGCAGCGGCGGCGACGACCTTTTGCAAGTAATCAGGCACAAATAAGACAGGAATGTCAAAATCTGTGTGAGGAAAGCTACAGGTAGGTAACAGCCATTGCATCACCCTCAATTAGGGTCATATTAGTTTTTCGTCAATAACTCCGGATCAAATTGAGCTAGCGAGTCGGGAAAGCCCGACCAAGACCTGCCGAATCGAATGATATGCGACATGACCTCCTTCAACCAGCTTCGTGACCTGGGGGCGCTGACCTGACCTTGACCTGAGGCCAACACCCTAAGTTGACCTCACCCAAACAAAAAGTATATCATTCGACGCGCCTGAGCGAGGCGAACACGATGCTGCCAAAATCGCGGCTCTGCGGCCGTCATTTGCGAAGTTATTCACCAAAAAAGGAACCGTACCTTGGGGCACTTGACCTGACCTCAGAGGTTACCGATTGACCTAGGACCTTAAAATCGGGTATCAATCTCTGCGTCTTGTAACGGCGCATACGCTCGTTTTTTCTGCGACGCGCTAGCTCCACCAGGGGCGAAACGGCGAGGGGGGTCGTACCCGCCCCCCCTCTCCCCTTCGGCCGGCGCGTATGTAGAAAACCAATAGGTCTGGCGAGGGTTAATCCAACAATCAACCAGATGTTTGCAACTGCGTACTGGCCTTATCAAATAGTACCCTTCATGGCGCTATACCCGCCGACAGTAACATTTTTTTTCATGTCAATTACGTATTTGGCCGTGGTAGGCATGATTCTAGGATTAGAAGCAGGTGCGGCGTATACGCCACGCACCAGTCGGCGCCACGTGTGGCGGGTGTGGCGCGCCGCTGCGCCGAGTTGGCCGCCATTGCACCAGAAACGGTCGTTGACGCCCCCACAGTGCACGTAGCCCGTCCCCAATGCACCGGTGCACACTGCACGGCCAGACGCTGCACGTAGATGTAGCGACAGCGGCTCTGGCCAGCGGGTTCGTCAGGGATGGACCGTTAGGCCGGTACTGGCAGTGCTTTTTTAGGCTGATGATACGGAGTGATAACAAAGCTGTATTCGACACAACCGTAGACAGAGCATTCTCGAATTTTGTTCCTTTCACCTGCACATCGAGATCGGTCGACGATAGATCAATGACAACAAAGCCCACTGGGTCACCAATCGAGGTCAAAGTCGATGTGTTCCCGACTAAACCTAACTACCATGTTTCCGGAGCATAGTAGCTGACAGAGTGACAGGGGAAGTCATTTGCGATCCTTGTTACGAGATGGTTGACAGCGATGTGTTAGCAGCACGATACAATCATTGCCTATCATATCCGTCCACCTTTTTATCACCCCGATGAGGTAGAGTCCAACGAGGACAAATTTGATCCGAAATTGATATTGCCTGACATTTTCACACACTATATGCTCAAACACTAAGCAGTGGAAGAGACTGAAAATTGTTTTGCTTTTAGCAATAACATTACACTTTTTTCTCCAGCTATAGGCGATAGCCACCGTGTCAGGTAAGCCCTCATTGCGAGTGTATGTCTTGGAGCATACATTAATTTTGACTGTAATATTTAGGTGCAACTTATATCCCAAGTACGATGCAGATACTCCTAAAATACCCTAGTCAGTCCAATTTATCACCACGTCTATGTCAATAATCCAATGCCACAACTTCAACAAAGAAGCGAGCCGTACGCAAATTAGCTGTCAGCAGGCAGACCGCGCAGCGCGCGTGAGACGGCGGCTTGTCGGAATCGATGGGCGCGTCGCCCGCGACGCCAGTCCGCGCGTCGACACTGCCGGCTGAGGTGGGCGTGCCGTCGCGCGCGACGACCATCGACGGCCTCGTGCGGCGCGCTGTGGTACCGCGAACTTGGATAGAGGGTTTGTGTGAACGGTAACTGTGAACAGTGATGTGTTGAATGGTTGTCGAAGCGATCGATTGGTGCTCAGGCGTGCACAAGTGAACCAGCTTTAACGTTTGCCAATTGACCGGAAAGACACGTTGGAGGATTACCTTTCGGGTGTTAGTTCGGCGGATAAGTGGGTGCGCTATGAGCGTGTTCTGTAGAAGCTTCTTCTGCTGCACTCGACCTGGAGGCATCGTGACGTCAACAACGTTCTACGAACTAAAGGTGAGGAGGCTTCAATTTGTGTAATGTTCGTGCTGCTAGACAGGCTTTCAAAGGCGTAGATAGTATGTACTCGTAATTATGAGTTCACCTTATTATACGTTGGCCTAAACTGAACCACATAAAATGAAATCGTCAAACTCGTATAGCTCATGAAGTATTCGTGCACGCACATTGCACAAGCATCATCTGCTGATGGAGTCAGCGAAAGACATCATCAGTATCATATAATTGAAGTCGAACTTTTGCATCTAGTTATATCAAAAAGTGTCAATCATTTTCCGAATATCAACCTTGACTTCAAATGAGTGTGCGAATATCCTGGATGTCATGCTGTCATAGAGCATTAATGACTAATCCATTTGCCGCTTAGGAGGCGCTGCGATTCATTAGCAGCCATTAGCGTGGTGTCCATGATCATCGCTATTGACATTAGCATAGAGCGTGAGTATACATGTGCTGACCAGCTATTGACCAGTTGTAGAAAATATCTAGAAAAAAGGTGTTTATCGGGTGCATCTGCAATGCCAAGTCAATTTTCCATATACCTATCTAATATTTGTGCGACTGTCAACTCATCAGTACCATGGCGCTCACACACATTGCAGTGTCCCTTCATTTTATATTTTTTGCTAGTTGAGACTTTAGGGAAGCGAGAGTCTACGTCCCTCGACCAAAAATCGACCACTCTTGATGTAGCACTGAATTTTAATTTGGGTAATACTCATTGGTTCAAACTAAAGTAGCAATCATCCGTTTCCATCACTTAGAAGTTTCGATCAAGGGCCGAATCGTGCATTAGATCGACGCTGGTCTTTGAACAAATGCGCAATATGCTCTTCAGCAAAGAGCCACGATGTTCAATAATTCTGAGGGAATGATTCTGATAATGACTTTCTAAGGGTAGACATTTGATAATGGCCAAAGTTGACATTAGCTCCCCGGCTCAAGCACTTAAGCCGTACATTACAAGCAATTAATTCCAGTAATGCCCAGTATTGAACTACGGCAAGTTAACTGACTGTAAACCTTGCGACTTAATCTGTCAGATGGGGTAACTTTAGTGGAAATGCGAACATTATGTGACGTGACATTATGTGTATGTGTGGAGTGTGGACATTAGGTATGTGGAGTGAGAAGCACGAGTTATTTTGTTATGGTATTCAATGCGGCAAACAAGGTTGCTCTCTGTCACGTACAACATCATTGGTGAACTCCGATGCACAAAAACATACTCAACGTTCGTATTTCCCGGTGATTTTAGTTCTATATCCACCAACTTTGCAAGGAGATATTTTTCAGGGGTCGCTACATCGACGGAACGATTGCTTCGAGACTTTAAGCAATTTATCAGGGACACAGTAAACACTGCTTATTAACTTGACCTTCGCCCGTATTGGTTTTCTGCCACCCGTCAACGCATAAAAGGGTCCGCGTATGACCCCCCCCCCCTTGCCATTCGGCCCAGCTGATCGAGCTAGAGCTTCTCGGAAAAAGCGAGCGTGCTTCCCATGACGAGAGGAAGCCAAATGATATCCAATTTCAGGTCAAATGTCATTGGTCGACCGTCATGGTTAGGTCAATGAGCCAAAAGCCTAGAAGGTCGGGACCTGCTAGAGCTTCGTAAAGTTAGGTGTTTATGGGGTTTTTGGGGTGCTGATCAATAATTTCATGTTAGTTTTGACCACAGTCAGGTTAGGTCAACCAGAAGGCGTCCTGCCGACTATCCATAATAGGTGTTAACCACCAATAGCAACTTCGTAACATGTTACGAAGGCACCAGAACTACTTCGTAAACGTTCAAATGGATGCTGAAGTCGAAATAATCTCCAAAACTACTATAGAAACATGTAAAATCCAAAAGTAACGCAAGGTCATCAAAGGTGAATGACCTTGATCTGACCTTTGCCTGACCTTAACAGCCACCATACTGCATGGGTCAAACACCATTTCACATGTTGGAACGTTTACAACCACAAAACGCGCGGTAACATAAGCCGACATATATGTATTTACGCTGAATCACGATTCCGACTAAACTTGGTCTCGAGAAACAGGTCGCAGGTCAAAGGTCATTTGGGTCAGGGTCATTAAATTTAAGAGTAGGTGTAAAATTGATCAAATTAAGGGTACTGAAAGCTTCGTCGCGATCGGCCGCTTTTTGCATGAGTTATTTGCGAAAAAACTGGGGGTAGGTCTGTTCGAAACCCCCTTATCCCTCGCCCATGTAGGGGGGGAGGTTGGTGCAACCCCCCCCCCCCCTGAGGTTTTTCTTAGCTACCACGGTTCGTCGGAAGGTCATCTCAGGCTCAAAAGAAACGATATATACCATTCGAAAGCTGACGGTGAGCTGAATCCAAAAATGTAATTTTTATCAAAATCGAGCGATGGCCTTTTTTGAAAATTGCGTTTTTGTAAAAACTTTATGATTTTTTATTCAACGGGCTGTCCCGGACATTCTTGAAAACAAAAACATGTATTTTTGAGTTTCAGTAAAAGCTGAACGCCTAAAGAACAATATTTAGCGAAGCAATATTTCCAAACATTAATATGCGTCTCCCACAGCCGACAATAAGGCGCAATTACACACACTGAAAACAAATTGGCCGGGCTGTGGCGGGTTATCCTTTAATTAAGTGTAAGGTACGTCGGGGTTAATCGCTCAAGTGCGGGTAGAACTATGCGAGTAGATAGGGTACCTGCTTGCGATAT